TGGGCTGTGTCCCCCTTTGGGTCCGTGCTGGGCTGTGTCCCTGTGGGTCCGTGCTGGGCTGTCCCCCGTGGGTCCGTGCTGGGCTGTGTCCCTGTGGGTCCGTGCTGGGCTGTGTCCCCGTGGGTCCGTGCTGGGCTGTCCTCCTGTGGGTCCGTGTTGGGCTGTCCCCCTGTGGGTCCGTGCTGGGCTGTGTCCCTTTGGGTCCGTGCTGGGCTGTGTCCCCGTGGGTCCGTGCTGGGCTGTCCCCTGTGGGTCCGTGCTGGGCTGTGTCCCTGTGGGTCTGTACTGGACTGTCCCCCTGTGGGTCCGTGCTGGGCTGTGTCCCCGTGGGTCCGTGCTGGGCTGTGTCCCCTGTGGGTCCGTGCTGGGCTGTCCCCCCGTGGGTCCGTGCTGGGCTGTCCCCCATGGGTCCGTGCTGGGCTGTCCCCCTCTGGGTCCGTGCTGGGCTGTCCTCCTGTGGGTCCGTGCTGGGCTGTGTCCCCCTGTGGGTCCGTGCTGGGCTGTCCTCCTGTGGGTCCGTGCTGGGCTGTCCTCCTGTGGGACTGTGCTGGGCTGTGTCCCTGTGGGTCCGTGCTGGGCTGTCCTCCTGTGGGTCCGTGCTGGGCTGTCCCCCTGTGGGTCCGTGCTGGGCTATGTCCCTGTGGGTTCGTGCTAGGGGCACCATGCTGGGCTGTCCTTCTGTGGGACCGTGCTGGGCTGTCTCCTGGGGCACTGTGCTGGGCTGTCCTTCTGTGGGTCCGTGCTGGGATGTCCTCCTGTGGGACTGTGCTGGGCTGTCCTCCTGTGGGACCGTGCTGGGCTGTCCTTCTGTGGGTCCGTGCTGGGCTCTCCCCCTGTGGGACCGTGCTGGGCTGTCCTCCATGGGACCATGCTGGGCTTTCCCCTGTGGGTCTGTGCTGGGCTCTTCCCCTGTGGGACCGTGCTGGGCTGTCCTCCATGGGACCATGCTGGGCTGTCCCCTGTGGGTCCGTGCTGGGCTGTCCCCCGGGGCACCATGCTGGGCTCCCCACAGCCCGGCTGCCTGTGTCAGCGCTCTGCTGGCCCCATGCTGACCCGTGCTGACCTGCACCGGGCCACTGGGACTTGGGCCTGTTTTTCATCAGGAATTGGATTCTTCCTTCAAGTGCCTGGGAGAGAAACATTCCGTCAGAGCAGCCCCAGCAAGTGTCTCCACCCTGAGCCTCTAACCCCCCTGAGAGTTTGTGGGGGAAGGGAAGTAGGGGACTGGGCAGAACAGGGAGGGACAGGCAGGCCACATACGGCCAAAGGAAACACAGGTTCCTGGCAGGCTGAGCCGCACCGGCAGCGCTTTCCTCTAACTACCCTCCCTTTTTCTTTCTTTTTTTTTTTTGAGTGATATGTCCCATTTGGACAGATGAGCTATGGTCTGTGTTCCATGGTGTCGTGTGCGTGGGCACCCTGGGGAGTGGCCAGGGACATGTATGCAAACTACCATGCAGACAGGAATCCCTGGATAGATAAGGTTCCGTGGAGCGGGGAGGCCCGGGGTTCGCTCCTCGGCCCCGGGTCTGACACAAGAGACAAATGGGGAGCAGGGAGGGCCCTGGCCAAGTTCAAGCACAAAGCTCAGGGTCCCTCCCTGGCAGTGCCTTGGTAAGCAACGCAGTGGGGGTCCCACACCCCCAGTTACCTGGCTCACTCCCCTGAGTGCCTGCAGGTGCTTCTGGAGCTGGGCTCCCAGGCGCCCGTCCAGGTGGCCGTCCACAGACCTGGATCCCGAGGCCAGCACCCCTCTGGGCTGTGTGCTAGCTGCTGGGCCCAGCATCGGCACCTCCATTCTTTCTCATGACAGCAGAGCTCTTGGGGCCAGGGATGAGAAGCAGAGCAGTGGGCTGTCCGTTGGGGGACTGTGTGGCACCCCGCTTCCGTCCAGCTTCCTGCCTGCACCCTGGAAGGCAGCAGGGATGGCTCAGGTGCCTGCGTCCTCTGGCCCGCGTGGGAGTCCTGGCTGCAGCTGAGGGCTCCCGGCTATTGCGGGCAACTAGGGAGTGAGCCAGGGGATGGAGTCTCTTCTGTTCTCTCTCTTCCTGTTGCTCCAATAAAGCAAAAGTAAACATAAAGACATTAAGACAGAGCAGAAGCACCTGTCATGATGAGACTTTGCAAAACCTGCCTCCACCCTGAGTCTAAGATACCGTTCCATTTCCGTTTTACGAAGGTCCGCCAGAAAGTTGAGAGTACGATTTCTGCGCGGAACGCGAAATGCACGCCTGGCGTCTCCCTGTGCGCGTTTTCCATGAGCTTCTTGAGGTGTCCTGTGTCCGGGGGCTTTGGAAACGCTTGTTTACTGCGTGGCTCTTGCCTCGCCTGGAGACGGTTTCCGCAGCCGTTGGCATCGCGCTGGAATCTGTTCAGACATCCTCTGCAGAGGCCCCCCGCTTCCCCTGGCCGGGCGGGGTCGGCGGGGGGACCCCTGGCCGAGCTCGGAGGGTGAGGCTGGGCAGGGGAGAGCTGAGGCGCAGATGCGAGATTCGGGAGCAGGGTACCCTGACTGGCAGGGGCGGCAGAGGGTGCCTGTCCGAGAGGCGCTGGGCAGGGCTGTGCTCTGAGTCCCCCTGGACGGTGTCCCCGCCTGGCCGGACGTGGTCCGTGTGTGATGTGAGCGCTGTCAGTCTCAGGACACTCCTGTTGTATGTTAAACGACCGTTCTGCGAGCAGGAGTGGTCAGCTCCGGGCTGCTGGGATTTGGCGAGGGGCTGGCTGCACCTGCCACACGAGTGGGGAACCTTGATGCACTGACCATGGGGGCCTGGGGCGCCTCGGGCGCGCTCTGCCCGGCTGGGCCGAGGCTGGCACACCTGCTTCTTCTCCCTACAGTTTATTTGAAAGGCAGAATCAGTCTCTCTTTCTCTCTCTCTCTCTCACACACACACACACACACTGTCCATGTACTGGTTCGTTCCCTAAGGGCCCGCAGCAGTCCTAGCTGGGCCAGGCTGAAGCCGGGAGCCCAGGATGATTGTCAGGGACCCGGGTGAGGGGCAGGGGGGCAGATCTCCAAGCACACACTGGCACTGTGCTACAGAGGCAGTTTGCCCACCCTGCCACAGTGCCTGGCCCTTGATGTTTTAAAGCAGGCCCGAGTCTTCAAGAAGCTGTGCTCTGTGGAAGGCTTTGCGATGGTAAATGGTAAACCCCCAGGTGCTGGGGTGCCCAGGCCTGGAGGCAGGTGTTACCACCCCCAGATGCTGGGGCACTGAGGCCTGGAGGCAGGTGTTACCACCCCCAGGTGCTGGGGTGCCCAGGCCTGGAGGCAGGTGTTACCACCCCCAGATGCTGGGGCACTGAGGCCTGGGGGCAGGTGTTACCACCCCCGAGTGCTGGGGTGCCCAGGCCTGGAGGCAGGTGTTACCACCCCCAGATGCTGGGGCACTGAGGCCTGGGGGCAGGTGTTACCACCCCCAAGTGCTGGGGTGCCCAGGCCTGGAGGCAGGTGTTACCACCCCCAGATGCTGGGGCACTGAGGCCTGGGGGCAGGTGTTACCACCCCCAAGTGCTGGGGTGCCCAGGCCTGGAGGCAGGTGTTACCACCCCCAGATGCTGGGGCACTGAGGCCTGGAGGCAGGTGTTACCACCCCCAGGTGCTAGGGCACCCAGACCTGGTGTTACCACCCTCCAGGTGCTGGGGCACCCAGGCCTGGTGTTACCACCCTCCAGGTGCTGGGGCACTGAGGCCTGGTGTTACCACCCCCAGGTGCTGGGGCGCCCAGACCTGGAGGCAGGTGTTGCCACCCTCCAGGTTCTGGGGAGCCCAGGCCTGGTGCTGCCACCCTCCAGGCTTGAGGTGTGATTTTGTCAGAAGTCGTTTTGGTGGGTGTACGTCTTGGAGCAACGCACAGCTGTTGACTGTGGGGCTGATTCTAGGGGCTTGGAGCTGGGTCAGGATTCTGGCTCTCTTTTAGACTGCCCCGGTGGGAGGGGGGGAAGACGCTCCCCAGAGCAGGCTGTAGACCTGGTGTGTGGTGGCACTGTGTGGTCCCCAGGGGAGTGGTGACTCTTTACGAGTCCTGGGTGCTGCCCTCTGGCCCCAGAGCATCTCAGGCACCTGCAGAGCCATGGGTGGGTCAGGCTGGTGGGCATGAATGGGCTGCAGGGAGCTGGACGCTGGCCCGTGTCCCAGGGGCAGGCCCCACGGCTGCTGTCACTCCGAGCAACTGCTGAGTCCATGGCCTTGTCCCTGGTGAGCCCAGAGTGGGGTCCGCTTGCCTTTCTCCCACCCTGCTGCCCCACTCCCGTCTGCCAAGGTGCCAATAATCCTATGCCCTAAGCCCCTTGGAGCAGCCGGGGCATTAGAGCCGGATTTGATGACACGCTGCTGTCGCCTCGCAGGGCTGTTTGCAAATTTCCCCAGCAAGACTGCGTGTGTGTCTGGAGAGAGCCGAGGCCGGCCGTGGGTGGCATGCACGCATTCCAGGCAGGCTTCGGCGGGGCCTGTAAGAGCCCTTTGTGTCTCCAGCGGCTGTGGGGACACGGGAACGCTGCCGGCCCATGGCGGCATCTCCTTCCAGCCGGGTCTCAGTCCTGCCACTGGCGGCGGGCGTTTTGTCAGGTCTGATTGCTGGTCCCTCTGTGTGGGAGGCTGGGAGGGGCCTGTTGCCCTAGCTGTGTGTGTGCACGCCCAGTTTCCCACACAGGAGCACGTGGTGTGCAAGAGGGAGTGAGGTTGTCGAAGATGCCTTAATGTTTAGCTTTGGCTGGGCTGGGTCCGCCCCGGGTGACCTGGAGCCGGCTGTGCCAAGCTTCTGCCCACGCAGCTGTCGTTGGCGTTCCTGAACTTCACGGTGGGGAGCGTCTCACCTCTGGCAGCATTGTTGTGCTGCCAGCCTTGGCTCCTGCAGGCTGCAGTGTTGTGCTGGCTGGAGCTTGGCTGGCCAGGGCAGTGTGTGTGCAGGGTCAGGACAGTGCTGTGGCGCTGTGCCGGGGTCTCCTGTGCTGACCTGTCCCACTCTGTCCTCCAGGCGCAGGCCGTGACAGGTGCTTTGGCTGAAGCCGCAGCCGTGTCCCGAAGGCCCATCCGCCATGTTCTATGGGACTCACTTCATCATGTCTCCGCCCACCAAGAGCAGGCTGAAGCGGCAGAGCCACTTGCTGTCCAGCATGCTGTCCCGGACGCTGAGCCACAAGTACCGAGACCTAGAGCCGCCCTTCTCCGGCCTGGGCGCTGGCGACGACCCCGCCGAGCTGTCCACTCAGCTCTCGGCCCCCGGCGTCCTGAAGGTGTTTGGGGACAGTGTCTGCACTGGCACCCACTACAAGAGTGTGCTGGCCACGGGCACCTCCAGCGCCCAGGAGCTGGTGAAAGAGGCCCTGGAGCGTTACGCCCTGGACCCCGCCAGTGCTGGCCAGTACGTGCTGTGCGATGTGGTGGGCCGTGCCGGGGACCCCGGGCAGCGATGGCAAGCCCAGTGCCTCCGGGTGTTTGGGGATAATGAGAAGCCGCTCTTGATCCAGGAACTGTGGAAACCTCGAGAAGGTTTGTCCCGGAGGTTTGAGCTGAGGAAGAGGTCAGATGTGGAAGCGCTGGCAGCCAAGGAGGTGGATACCATCACAGCAGGTGAGGAAGCGTGGGAAGTTCAGGAAAGGCTGTGGGCCTGGGTGCCAGGTGGGCCAGTGGTCAGGGAGGGTGGCAAGGGGTAGAGGCAGGGGCGTGCTGGGCCATGTGCATGGGGAGGCCCCCGGGCCTGGGATGCTGGGCTGTGTGTGTGTGTGGTGTGGGTGTGTGTGTGTGCATGGGGAGGCCCCCGGGCCTGGGATGCTGGGCCGTGTGCAGTTTTCCTCATGTGTGGCCGCAGCCATGAGCATGTGGAAGTGATGGCCAGTGCGTGCGTCTGGGAGCCCTCCTGGTGGCCGCTCTGCAGAAGCTCCTGGTCCTTGTTGTGTGGTTTGAGAGACACCCACCCTGGGGTCTGGTCGGCTGTAGGGCAGCGTACATGGCTGTTGGTGTAGGGTTGTGTGTGTGGACCACAGAAGGAAGGTACCCTCTGTGGCATTGCCAGGGTGCGCCATCTTGAGGGGTTCCAGGTGCCCATGGACTGTGGGTGCCCAGAGACACTGGAGGACATTTTTGTGGAAGGCCAGTCTAGAGCAGTGGGTGCTGGTCCCATGGGAAGCGTGCCAGGGGCAGGGCCCTGTACTCGGGCCCCCGTACCCGCAGCCTGTGCGTTGTGTCTGGCTGTGCCAGGGGCAGGGCCCTGTACTCGGGCCCCCGTACCCGCAGCCTGTGCGTTGCGTCTGGCTGTGCCAGGGGCAGGGCCCTGTACTCGGGCCCCCGTACTCGCAGCCTGTGCGTTGCGTCTGGCTGTGCCAGGGGCAGTGCCCTGTACTCGGGCCCCCGTACCCGCAGCCTGTGCGTTGCGTCTGGCTGTGCCAGGGGCAGGGCCCTGTACTCGGGCCCCCGTACTCGCAGCCTGTGCGTTGCGTCTGGCTGTGCCAGGGGCAGGGCCCTGTACTCGGGCCCCCTTACCCGCAGCCTGTGCGTTGTGTCTGGCTGTTACTGTTGGTTTGGTGAACAGAAGCTATTACCTTAATAGTTACAACCACAAAATTCCAAAGATTGTTCAGTGTGTTTTAGCTTTTACTTGACTTCCTCCCTTAGATTCCCCATAAAAAGTGACTCCACCAGGAAGTGGGGTCCTCACTCAGAGGAGAAGGTGTGCGGGCCTGACTCTGGGTGGAGCGCGGCCATGAGCTGGGCTGCCGCTGTGTGCTGTGTGTGGGCAGCTTACCTCACCTCCCTGGACTGACTGCACCATGGGGTCCTGGCCACATCCCTGTGCCAGTGCCTCTGTGTGGTGCAGACTGCCTGCCCCCTGGAACCCTCTCCTAGGCTGCCACTCGCTGCCCCCCCAGGAGCCCTCCTCTCCTCCGAGGCTGCTGCTGACTGCCTGCCCCCTGGAGCCCTCCTTTCCTCGAGGCTGCCACTGCCTGCCCCCCAGGAGCCCTCCTCTCCTCCGGCTGCCACTGCCTGCCCCCAGGAGCCCTCCTCTCCTCCGGCTGCCACTGCCTGCCCCCAGGAACCCTCCTCTCCTCCGGCTGCCACTGCCTGCCCCCAGGAGCCCTCCTCTCCTCCGGCTGCCACTGCCTGCCCCCAGGAACCCTCCTCTCCTCCGGCTGCCACTGCCTGCCCCCAGGAACCCTCCTCTCCTCCGGCTGCCACTGCCTGCCCCCAGGAACCCTCCTCTCCTCCGGCTGCCACTGCCTGCCCCCAGGAGCCCTCCTCTCCTCCGGCTGCCACTGCCTGGCCCAGGAGCCCTCCTCTCCTCCGGCTGCCACTGGCTGCCTTTGCTCAGGTCGCGGTCTTGCCTGGTCACCATGCAGCACTTTGGCCCCTGCTGAAGGGAGCGGGTGTGGCTGGGAGAAGCCAGTGTTGTGCACGGGCTCCAGGGGCATTTGGGTCATCCTGGAAAACTCTGCCAGACAGGCAGAGCTGGGCAGGTGGTGGCTGCCAGTGCCGGCCACGCTGAGGTCCCCGCGGCGTCCCTTGTGTAGGTCGGCGGGCAGGCCTGGTGTGTGAGCCACGCGAGTGTGGGCTCACTCCCCACCCTCCCCTTTTTACGTTTACTTCTGTTTACTTGAAAGTCAGAGTTGGAAAGAGAGGGTTTACTCTCCAGGTGGCTGCCGCGCCCAGGGCTGGGCCAGGAGCTTCTTGAGGGTTGCCCACGCTGGGGGCAGGGTCCCGAGCTCTTGAGCCGTCGTCCTGCTTTCCCAGGCCATTAGCAGGAAGCCGGATGGGAAATGGAGCACCTGAGATTCGAACTGGCACCCAGCTGGCGTTGCAGGCGGAGGTTTGGCTGGCCTCAGCACCCTCCCCTTGGAAGTCTCTTTTGCCATGAGTCAAGTCAGAGGAGGTTTTGCTGTTCCTAGCCCATTTAACTTGGAGGTCGTTTCTCAAAACCTTGCTAATAAAAAGTCCATTAAGCTGGCCAGTTCCAGTGACCCACTTGGAGGGGCAAGAGGCGCTTGTGTTACCTGCCCTGGGCCCCAGGGAGCTGCTTTCCTTGCTGACCTCCTTCTTCACTGTGGTCCAGTGCCTCCCAGCCGCGCTGCCCGCTTTGCCAGCTCGAGCCTCCGTGTGGGGACCGGCCGTGTGAGGGGCAGAGGCAGCTTGCTGTGCAGTCTGGGGGCACCAGGAGGGCCCTGCCAACAGGCCTGCCCCACAGGGGCCTGACAGCGGGAAGGTCCAGAGCCTGCTGGGTGGAGTCCTCGGGCGGCTGCTGTGACACAGGGCCAGGAGGACACAGGCGTGTCCATACACACAGCCTCGCATTCCAAGTCACCCAACCCCATGGACGGACGCCCGTGCATCCTTTCTGTGGCCCTGGAGCTAGCCTTTGTCCACGGGCCTGCAAGCACCTGCACAGACTTTTCCCTGGGGGAGTGGAGCAGGCGGTCCTACCTGTGCTTGGCTGCTGGGTTCCCCTCCCTGTCCCTTCAGGTAGGAGAGCAGGACCGAGTCCCTGAGTAGGCCAGCAGCGGAGTTACTTCCCTGGAGCGCCTGGTGATCCCCACCACTCCCCAGTCTCCTAGGGGGGAGGGACCTCAGGACCCCAGTGGAAGGGGGTGCTGCACCCCCTAGGCCGTCCTTGGGTCGTGGTCCCTGATGCTTGCCCCTGCCTGACTGTGTCACTGTGGGGGCCGGATGCTGCAGAGCTGGGCCCCGTGGGGGTGAGGAAGGCCAGCTGGATGGGGGACTCCACGGCTGCAGGGCAGCCCGGCCTGTCCCCTTCAGTCTGTCCTCAGAGGACAAGGGCGGAGCCTCCCTGCCCCTCCGTGAGAACAGAGTGACCTCATGTGGAAAAAGTGCAGAAGGGAAGGCCCCGCCTGCCCAGTGTGTGAGTGCACGCCAGAGGCGTGGGTCGGCCCCCGCCACCAAGGCTGCTCCGTGGGCCCAGAGCGCTCCTGGGCTCGGGAGTTCTCGGAGCTGGGTGGAGCTGGGGCTGGTGCCTGCGATCCCCCAGAAGTCAGGAAGGGCAGAGTGAGTGTGCCAGTGGGTGGGTCCACCCCGTTCGGTCATCTGGCCATTGCTGGGCACCGGGGCCACGCACGAAGGCTGTCTGGGTTTTGTTTTCCATAAACGTGGCCGTCTCTTAGCTGCCAGCGTGTCCGACTCCGCACGTCTCAGGATCCACCTGGGTTCTGGGAGGGGGCGCCGCTGGGCTTTCCCGAAGGCTGGTGCTGCGAACCTGGGGCCCCGGCCAGCGAGACCTGCAATCGCCGTGCTGGCTCTGCGGAGGCGGACTGCAGGGCCATGTGGTTTTTGTCAGTGCTTGGGGTGGGCGAGGTGGGGGTGGGGCTTATGGAGGCCCTCTGTTCCCACTCCTCTCCCCCTTCCTCATGCAGGTGTGGACCTAGGCTGCCTTTCCCAGTGGCCTCGGGCTCCGCCCTGGCCTCCCATTGCAGCCTTCACTGAGCACCGAGCACTTAGTCCCAGCGTGCCCGATGGCCCTGTTGGGGTCAGGTGGCCGCGTGCTCTCTGTGCTCAGCAGGCCTCCAGCAGCAGCATGCTCCTTGGGCTGTGCCCCCTGGAAGCTGAGCATCTCGATGGGGGCCCATGTCTTCGGGCACTCTCCCGTGCCGCCGACAAGGAGGCTGGCCCACGTCCTTTGCTCCAGGACCCTCGTTCCAGGCAGGCTGCCAGGCGGAGAGTTTGTGAAGGTCACCTGTGCCGGTGCAGAGGCTGGGGAGAAACTGCCTGTCAGAAGCTCCGTGGCTGGTGTGCGCTGGGTGCCTGCCGGACCCCCGTGGGAGGATTGCTGGGAGGGTCTCAGCGTCCGTGTGCACACAGGCTCTGTCATGGAACCCTCTTCTGTGTGGAACTGGTGCCTCCGGAGGGGAGGGCGCCATCCAGGAGTGGAGCGTGGCTGGGCTGCCGAGGTGGCCACCAGACAGGTTGCCGTGCCGCCTCCGCTCCTTGGAGCCCTGTGTGGCTGCTGGAGTGGCTGTGTTGGCGAGTGTGTCACGGCTGAGCCCCCTGCTCTGCCTGAGTTACTCATGGGCAGAGGGCGGCTGTAAGCTCGGGGCACCTCCAGGCACCTGCCGGGCACCTCCGGGCTGCCTCACGTGCTCACTGGGTGCTGCTGTGACTTCTGCCCTGGCCAGTCCAGTCTCTGTGGGCATCGTCTTCTGATCTTTTTTCCCCTACAAGGAGTCTAATTTTTTAAAAAAGATTTAAAAATTTTTATTGGAAAGGCAGATCTACAGAGAGAAGGAGAGAGAGAGAGAGATCTTAAGATCTTCTGTCTGCTGGTTCACTCCCCAAGTGGCTGCACCGGACGGAGTTAAGCTGATTCAAAGCCAGGAACCTCTTCCAGGTCTCCCACATGGGTACAGGGTCTCAGGGCTTTGGGCCATCCTCGACTGCTTTCCTAGGCCACAAGCAGGGAGCTGGATGGGAAGTGGGGCTGTCAGGATTAGAACCAGTGCCCATATGGGAAGTTGGCACTTGAACGGTTAGCCAGTGAGCCGAGGTGCTGGGCCTGCCGCAGGACTTTCCGTGAAGCCGGGCAGCAGCCTGGCAGAGGGTATCCTGTGGGAAATGCTGACTGTGTGTGCTGA